CCTACGTCTCAGATTCCACATAAATTCAACCATATAGATCTAGATTTTAACTCAAAAATTCTTAAACATGAGTTTCAACCTAAAGAAAATATTCTATAATATTTATTATATCCCTAAGAATTTTAACCTATATTTTTAATCCATCATATCATCAGATTAACTATCCTATAGAAAAATCCTAATCAAAATATTTACTCTATCCTATAAAATAATCATATCACTCAAAAGCTAATATTATTTAGAAAATAACTATAAAATTAATTTTGTAATTAAATAAATTTTTAAATGCTAATCTAAACAGGAAAGTTAGAACATACCTGAAGAAAAAGAAAATAATCCCCCCTTGCGAGAAAACGCCAAGCAACGTGAGAGGAAGAGAGAAAAATAATATAAAAATGAGATTGTGAGTCCCAAAATTATATTAAAAAAAACTATAGGTTTGAATTTAATTATTCAAACCTTTGGGCCAAAAGTTGCAATTTTCTCTAAATTGCATCTTAGCCTCTCATGCTTCTTAATGCACACACCCCCTCCTTTTTATACATGAAGGCACCTCTTCTCTTCCCTCATCTAACCAATGTGGGACTTAGAAACAACAACCTTCCACTCCTTTTTTTTTGTTCCTTCTACCTTCTCTTTTTTTTTCAACACATACATAAAAAAAATTATTTATGTATTATATCTTAACTAAATATTACTTATGTGGTTTTAAATTTAAATTTTTAAATTCATAATTAAATACCTAACCATAATATCATTTCTAAATAACCTCAAATAATATAAATTCCTATTATTATCTTTTTTTTTTCCTCAAAACCTAAATTCTGCAATTTCTTTATTATATAAAAATCAGGATGTTATAAATCTGGCTAAGATGGCACACTCATGCCTAAGCACTCTCAAATTATTTTACACAGCTCCTAAAGGATGTGAACCTCTTCTTTTATACCACAGTAGTGGGAACAAGCCTCACTTGAACTAATTTCTTATTTGCTTTTTTCTTCCTAACTTACAGCTAGCTGTTTACTATCAGTTCAAACAAAAAAAAAAAAAATTCTCCATAGAGGACAAAGTTAGATCATTTATTTTTATTAACAAATTTATCCCTTATACATTTATCATAGATTAAATTATAAATAGTAATTTATTATTAATTATAAAGAAGAAAAAAATTTGAAAAAAGTGACATAATTTTTCAAGACTTTTAAAAATATAATTATTATTTTTTAATAAATGTAAAATTGACTAAGCTAACTTTCTATTAAGAACACAGTGTGGATGATGAAAAGCCTTGTTTTTTTTTTAGGGTAAAATATTATGATTTCTCCTCTTTTTTGTCTTAACTACAAACAGCTCGTTTTTATTTTTAAAACCTAAACAAACCTTTTCTATTATAAATAATTATAAAATGTAAACATTCTCTTTATTTTTAAAACTTTCATTATTTCTGTCTATCTAATTGTTAGTCTATCATTAAGTTACATAAGTGCTGGACAAAAATACTTCTTTTTTAGATATAAATGTTACCTAAAAATAATTCAAATTGCCAAAAACAATTAATGCATATTTTTTTATGTTTTATTTGTATTTTAAATTCTTTAACAACATAAACCTATTTATTCAGTAACTTTTCTAAAATTTAAATATATAAATAGGCGAAAATAATATTCCAAACAGAACGTTAAAAGGTTAAATTTTTTTTAAATTACTCAATGAAGGGTAACAAGCCAGGAAAAGAGGTGAGAATTGAAATTAAAATGCATTTGAAAATATCTGGGAAGGCGGTGGGGAAGATATGCATCGGGAGGGCTTGATATTTTACGCTTCTAAACTGACGGCTTCGAAGATGAAAGCAGCCCCCTCAACAAGCCTCAGCCTTTTCCATGAATTAAAAAATAAAAAGCCATTAGCGGAAATGAATTGGGTTGGTGGGGAAAGCGGAAGCGCGTTTATGTGGGCCCCCATGGCCCATCGGGTGATGGTGATGGATGTTCAAACTTCAAAGTGGGAAATCGCGGGAGTTGCGGAGGCCCCACCTCTTCGCTTTTTCCGTTTCTCTTCCCTTCTTCCCTCTTGCTTTCGGATCCGCCCAACTGCTATCTGCAACCTTTTCAACTCATCGCCGATTTTTCTCCTAAGCTTATAATTTGCGTCTCCTCTTTTTGAGTTTCTTCTCCTTTTTCGCCATGAAAATTATCAACTCATTAATTAATATGAAATGTGAAAATGTTACGACAATTAGACATTTTTAATGCAAAATATCATAAACTCTGATTCATTTGTGACTTGCATAGATTTTTATATCTTCCTTTTCTTTTTATGAACATGATCCGAGTTAGCCTCCACTGAACAGTGGGCAGTACTAAAGAGCATTCATCCTCTCTTTTTCAATGACATTAGCCAGTTCCATAAAGGTGCCTGGTGCATCTCATGAAAGCCCTCCATGTAGCAGAAAGTCTCATCTTCGATGCAAGATCCGCAGCTTGATTCTTCCAGCGAGGAATGTGTTGGAATTGAATTTCCAGCTTCGACAGCCTCATAATTCTTCCATCTGCCGGCACTTGTATTCAACATGTACGTACCATTTATCTTAATATCGGTATTTACACTTGTCCATTTGAGACATTGTGAATTTATGTCCAAAACCTTTTTTTTAGAAGGTATATTAATATTACTTCTGAGTGAATTGGTAGCCACTGTACCTGCACCTGTATTTGTACTAGTATTAAATTTGCCTCTTCAAATTCATAATATTTTTAGTAATCAGGCATGTATTTCTGTCATTTTTTTTTTCTATCTTTACATGTAAAATCTTTTAAAGTTTACATGCCGGTATTTATTTTATTGCAATGAATTGTATTTTATTAGATTTTATTAATAATACAGCTTATTTCTCACAAGTCGTGCAACACATAAAAAGCACATGTCTAATTAAAAACAATTCATATAATTTGATTTTTTTTTGACGTGGAGTAAGTTGAAGGTTTCAAACTATTATTTTAAACTTGATTATGTTGCATGGCTACCGCGCGCGAGAAGGGAGGTGATAACTGGAGCCAGTTGAGCTGCAAGCTGCTTAAAATATTTGAGTTTACGTAACAGGATCATTGACAAGGGCAACTTATCAAAGTAACGGTATATTAGACTGTTTTTCAAATACAATTTGCTGTTTATTTATTTTTTTAAAAAGACTCCTTCCAATTTTAACACCCATAGAATTACAAACAATTCGACACAAATACTTTTCATCTTTTGCCCCCTTTGACGCTGGAAAGCCAGGCTTTGAATATCATGCAATGGTTTTTTTTTTTTTTTTGGTTGGCGGGAGGTGTATTAATTAAATAAGAACTATCCAGTGTACCTGCACTGTTATTGAAACCTTCAACTACAATGAAGGCTTCGACATGGTCTCTGTTCTTGACCACAATTAGCTATCAACTGATTTCGTCTTGAATGGAACGCTATTAGCATTAACAATTGTCTGATCTCTGATCTCTTTCTGCTAAATCTGATTCACTGATTCGTATTTAATTTTACCCAACTTCCGTTTACCAAATACCGAGAACGACGCCGTGCCCAATTTTTTCCCCAGCCAACAAGAAGTGATACGAACCCCCCCCCCCCCGCCCAAAATTCTGAGATTGTGATATTAATTAATGTTCTTACTAGAATCAGAAGACAATGAGGCATACATGAATTAAACTCTCAAGGTTTGCCTAAGGGGAAAAAAAAAAGAAAGTAAAGATTCCTAATCTACTACAAAAATGATGGGCCCAAAAAAAATAAAAAGTACAACATAAATAACAGTGAATAGGCATAAAATGACTTATATATTGGTTTAATCGATAGTGGGTAAGGATTTAGCCTACAAACAACACGATTATGAGTTTAAATTGGTAGGCTAAGTATTTTTGTAAATATTTTTTAAACTTTGAAACATCTGACTTTAGTGAACTTCTAGAACTTAATTCATCTAAATTCTTTATTATTAAAAAAAAAGTATAAAATGGCCCCCATGTGTGCAGGAGCCATTGACATATTCTCACGAATGAGTGTGTCGTTTCATTTATACGGGATCCTAGAGGCAGAGGATGTGTTGTGATGAACCAGCTTAATATCAATGCGGGCTTTTGACTATATGGAGAGGGCACCAGTGGCCTGGCGACCTTGGGCTCAGGAGAAGGGATGGCTAATGAAGAAGCGAAGATGTCTAGATGGATAAAATGCTCATACCATAGGTGTGGATGAGCTGTGAAAAGTTTCTTTTTTTTGAATACTCAAAAGAAGCTATGAAAAGTTTCTCCATATAGCATTTCATTCTCTCTTTGCCTCGGCCACAGTTCTTGAGACTGCAGTTTCTTTCTCTGTTTCTTCGTGGTTGAACTTTCTCTGAGTGTTTCTCCTGTAATGTACTGAGATTTCCAGCAATAATATAATTCTACATTGACCACAAAATGTGATGTTGGAATTGAAATTACAGGGATAACTGAGCAAGTTTCCAATTACAAGCAATAGCAGAAGAGATGGAGAACAAAAGATACAAGGAGAAGTAGAAATTGCAGAAGGAACAGGGAAGAATATCAGAGAGAAGAGAAGCACAGAGGGAGACGATTTCATCAAAATAATCCTCTCCTCTACAATGCTTGTATTCTTGTTATATACCTCAAACCTCAAACTCCTTCAGCATAGCCCCAAGCCCAATATTACAAGCTCTTCGCTGAATAGTTGTCAACCGGTCCATCATGTACTAAGCCCGTCCATAACATCTCCTTCTTTCCCTCTGTGGCCTCTTCTTTTCTGTTATTCTATATTCCACTCTCTCCTTGAGGACTCTTTTATTACGTGAAGTTCGTGACTGTTTGAGACGTTTTCTCTCTAGGAGCTGCTAAAGTAATAACAGCCCCTAAGATCATTCCGTAACTCCGAGGGGAAAAATTGAATCAGAAGATCACTCCATGATTCTTTCATGCTCATCATTGTAGCGATTTTCCTCATTCGGGAGCATCAAATGCATTAATTCATGTGTAAAATATAAGAATACATGCATATACATCCACATTCCTCTTGAATTAAATATGAAAAATGTAAATTAGAAGGGATGGGAATATGATTGAATTACAATCGGTTCTACTGTAACCATGCTACATTTCCGTGGGTCAAAATACTTGACCCAAAAGTTCAATGCGACATCATATTTAAAAAGTAAAAGAAAGAGCGCGAGAGTGCAAAAAGGCAGAACGCGAAGTATCATTGATAATGAAGAGAAGGCTATACACGGTGGTAAGCATACGACTTGCTGAAAAGGCGACGAATGTATATCACTTGCAGGGTGCTCGTTGAAGCAAATAAAACATACTCCGTAATTGTGTAGAACACAACACGCCTTCTGGTGCTTTCATTTGCTGTATTTTCAAATTAGTCGAATCAGAAAATTTACAGCAAAATGATTCGAAGAGCAGTATTAGTTTGGGAGAACAGAAGCAACTCACTGTGTCGATGCCTAGCCTCACGTGCTTTCAAATACCTTTGCTCTGCTATGATAGACTCCAACGCCTCTCTCAACTCGGCAATCTTCACCTGAACAGGGTCTAAATGCTCTGAATTCACAACCACAAATTGATGAGTCACACGGTCATAATAAAGACAATGCAAATGACGGTATATGATAAAATAAATTTGTAATATATAACTGAGAGAGGAAGAGGAAGTGACCATGTTTGGCGAGATCGGACTCGTTAGGGATGTGGCCAACGTGAATGTAGAAGGATACAGTCTCGGGGGTTGAAGAGGGATTCTTGAAACAGAAGTTGTATATTCCACTTTCTCGGGCTTTAAACTCGAACTTGTCCCCCGACGTGCCCTTCAAAGCATACAGCAAATGACCATTGGGAGATGTGGCCTACGTACAATTCAACCACAAGCATTATAGTGGTCACTTATATCAACAATACCGATCCGCAATCATTTTTGAATGATTCATATGGAGAAAGGGGATTACAGTGAATTCAATTCCAGGATGGTCAGAGCTCCAGAAGATGTCATGGTCCATCACTACGAAATTCCCAGAAACGGTGTCGCCGTCGTGTAAAACATTCTCCGATACGCATTCCATTTCCATCAGACTGATCGAGAGGGCGGATCCATGGCCGGTTATGGTCCCCAGGAACACCAGTGCGAGCGCGTAGGTCGTCGAATACCAGGACGTTTTCCTGCAATCCATTTCAGAGTCACTTGTTCCCTGGATCTGTACGGAAAATGCATAGGCTGAATCATCGAGTGCGAAAATATGACGGCTCAAATTCTGGAATTGAGCGGTTTAAACAGGTCCTTCCTTCGCTCTATGACTATAAACTCGCGTTACTCTTCCTTAAAATAAAACTCAGATCGAGCATGCACGAAAAATAAACCGTACACTACGATCAGAGGGCTTGTTATAAATTTTAGTGGTCGGCTTGATACAAAAATTTTAAAGGTGTTCGAAATTTTGAGCATTAATATGTGTTTTTTTGGCCCAATTATTAACAAAGACGTACAAAAGTTTGAGCCCATGAATTTTGAAGAGTTTGGACTAGAATCGGCCCATTGAACATTGGGCAACAGAAGTGCACTTAGTAGACAAGGTTCCCAACCTTAAAGGGTTAGTCCATTGTAAATTAAAAAAAAAAAGGCGATCTTTTCTTCAAATTAGTTCAATATATATTTTTAGGTATATAGTGTGCATGTTTTTTAAATACAAAGGACAGTGAAGTTACAGTCCGTTCATCAAATAACTGGGCGTCAAAAAGAGGTTGAAATTTATGCGGGTCAGTATTATCTTGAGGCAATAAATTTTTTTTTTTTTTTGCCGAGGGCAATAATTATATTATATTCTATTCAGCTTTGATACGAATCTCATGTTTCTTCTACTATATTTTGACCCCGTGCTTTGAGCATCGCAGTGTCTATTCGCATCACACACGCCATGATATGCATGACAATTTTCACGCGCGCATTATGATCACTGTTACAAACACATTTTACATTCCCAATTTATATCAGTTTTGTTTATTTTTCCTTTATTATGTTTAATTTTTTCAATTATTTCTCTAGGGTTTCCCCATGCTTCAACATACAAAAGATAGCCATAATTCATTAAAGATGGCAACACATGCCTCTAGTCCCTCAATAAATGATAAAGCTCCTAGGTTTGTTTATTTGGATGAACCCAATAATTAGCTATTGTTGCAGCTTAAGTGTACATACTCAGGGAAACAATCCATTTTATGAAGATTTTGAATGACTAGGTTAAGGTAATGATTAACGTTGTTTTTGAGAATGTGACAAATCAATTCTCTATTAATGAGGTTGTAAAATTAAGCTAAGCACCAGATCACTTCATTCTATGACCTAAAAGATTTTTTGACAATTTTGACGGTAAAAAACACCTCATTATTCTTTAATTTTTTTATTTTAATTAACTTATATAACTTGTTTTCATTTGATGTGTCATCAAGATCTTGAGGAAGCAGAAGACTACCCTCATCTGTTATAATTATATGAATTTTTTAAGGCAATGGCAAAGCCAATTGAGCTAACCATACCTAAGGGAATTGTGGGTATAGATAAGTCATATACCTCTGCACTTGATAAGAAAGACATTCTGGAATTCCTATTGATAAGGGAGCTCGATGTAACATCCTAAATTATTAATTAAGGGTAAATTAGTGTATTAATTAATTTAATTATGATTTTGGGTGATGAATTGATATTTGAGGTTGTTGGACAATTGTATGATTAGGATTAAGTGGAAGAGTTTTGATTCGAAGAGGAGTGTGTGGGCTAAAGTGAGAAAACTCTCATCATGCCACGCATCGCAGCATTTGTGCAATGCGTGGTGGCGCATAGATCACAATTTTAATTTTTAAGTGTGTGATTAGCTCGTGAAACACAAGGAGAAGAAGGAAGCTCTATTAGGGCAAGAAATTATGGCCACATAGGAGATCGTTCAGACATGTTATTTTACCAGGTAAGCTTTATATCTTCCTACTCTCCTATTATACCCTAATTTCTTTTAGTTTGAAATATAGTGAAATTGGATTATGAGGTTTTGAAGGGTTGTTTTCTAGCTCGGTAGTTAAGGAAGGATTCTTTGAAGATAAACTAAAAATTTATGACTAATTTGGTGATTAATGGTTAAGTTTGGACGTTAAAGGCTTAATTTAATCTTAATTGTTGGGGTCAAAAGTGTGAAAAGTACTATATGAATAGTAGGAAAGCTAATGAAAGTTGTAAAAAGTTTATGAAAGGTAAATAGGACTTAAGGTTACTAAATGACAGTGATTAGATGTTTAATTAAGTTAGTTTAATTGTACAAATAATTTAAGATTACTAAATAGAAGTGATTAGATGTTTAATTAAATTAGTTTAATTGTACAAACGAGTACACATGTTCGGTGTTAAAATTGACATACAATGCTTAATTATGTAGATTAATGTGGCTCACGAGTTATTTTGAGCAATTGTTATAAAAGAAAGAAAAAGTATCACAAGAAACCTTTTTAGTGCAAAAGGATTGAAGTAACCGAATAATTCATCCTGTCTATTAGCTAGTTTAATTGTTTACAAGTAATATTATGTGAGATAATTACTTTGACATGATTGAACACTTATATGATTTCAAAATTGGAAAGGGTTTTCATTTATAACATGTTTTTAATAAATGAAGATTATTTTGAAAGCTAAATAAGAGACATAATCATGATAGAAGGTGAGAGTTCATCATAAGTGGAGTAATCTAAAAATCCATATGGTGGAGCCAACACCATTGGACATTCAGGTAATTATTACACGATATAAGCTTTTTAATATCTAAAAAGGTGTGGTGTTGGAGTATATGATACTCTAATTACATGTGTCATAGGGAGAATTCATAATTCAAAAGTTGGATATAACATCTTTAGCTAGGAGTTCTCCTATGAAAGGTGAGCTTAGATCAGTTATATAGTATTAATCTAATATGTAGCTTACGAATTTAGTTGGAGGTAAATATGAAGGTTTAGTTAGATAATATGATCATGCATGTGATATGATATTTATGATGTGGTTATATATTTATATATTAACTTTTCAATGAATGATGTTTTATTTACTTATTTATGATCATACTTGCCAATAAATAGTTTTGGATTATTTTGGCTACTAGGACTCTGTCTCACCTCATGGTTACTATTTTATAAGTTTAGATATTGGTAGTAGTTAAGGGAAGCCTTGGAGCAGGAGTAGTGGAATTACTACATTTTCCTTTTAAGTTTGTGTAATGAATTTGTATTGTTATAGATAATAACGTTTATAAGTTGTTATAGAAATGCATACATATTTTTAGATTGCATTTGTGTGATTGTGTGTATATCTTAGTTCTGAGATGTGAAAATGTTTGAAATAGAACAGTGAGGGTTGAGATACCATTACAAGTACAAGATTGTATGTTTGAAATATTGGTAATGTGTGAAATTTGGGCAAGAAAGTGAATATGTATGTGTGTATATATATATATGTGTGTGTGAAATGGACTATTTTTGATGTAAATAATGGTATTTGGACGATCAAAATGTATTATGATTGAATGAATGTTGTTATAATTGCTCAATTAGGTTAATAATATCCCATTGGATGCGATCAAGGCCTTAGTAGTGGCTAATGATATAAGATTGTGATCCAAGACATTTGAAGGTGGAAAAGTGACATTAAGTTGTCATTTTGCATTTGTGTGTCCAATTTTTAAAAGAAATGTTAGATTGAGGTAAAACTTGTGTTATTAGTTAGAATATGAAAAATTTTTGCATGGGTGCTTACCGATCGAAAGTCATATGTGAAAATGACGTGTGTTTAAAGTTCATGCAAAAAACCTATCATAGTAACATTTTTACTATTATAAGCACATGCACTGTAACGCATGATGAGTATGCCATGGTGCATGATACATAGACATAAAATTTCTCTATATGCCACATGCCATGGCATATAGTTCTCTTTAGGTAAAAATGACTATTTTACCTTTGTTTTTAATATATAGTGTTTATGCATTCTTAAATACTTCCATTGTTCATAAATACTTATATTTTGAAGATTTAACATGTTTTTAAAGATTTTTGAGATTCCGACTATTTTTAAAAAATTATTTTCTATATTTTTAATACTTATGAATAGAGGTGGGTTTAAGGACTCCTAATTTCTTTTATACGTTCTAAGTATGGGTACAATTTGATAATGTCAAGGCGAATGTTACGCTGGACATATCCTGGGTCATGTTATCAATCTTGTAAATTTATTTTATATATATATATATATATATATTGTCTCATTTTGCATTCATTTTGATTTATACATGTGCATTAATTTTTATTTCATTCTACTAATAGGTTTTTCAATTATTTTTATATTGGACCCAAAGAAGATCTTGAATTTTTGTGTCTAACTTATATGACATCGTCTCACAATGATGTCTATGATAGGATGAGATACGTGTGCAAAACTATTGTAGAAAAAATTTGTCATGTTATTTGGCCTTAGTACTTAAAGGGCAAGTTGTTTATATTTATGTATTTATATTTAGTTTGATAATATTTTTTATATTTTCATATATTGATTATAATTCTTATATGTTGCAATTACCACTAGTCTTTTTATGTTGTCTGCCCATATTTGCCCAAGATCTACTGGCCTTGTTCCATGGACAAGCAACCAACTGCTAAAATTAAAGATGTATTTAACACAAAGTTAAGGTTATTTTTATAAATTTTAGTTTTTTCAAATATTAACATTATTTTAACATCTTAGTTTTTATTTAAATTTCATTATAGATCACTAAAAATATATCAAATAATAGGGGAAAAGTGCCACGCACAAAAAAATAAAACTAAAAAAAGGCCCACTGACTTAGATATTCCAAAAGGTGAGTAATTTGAATTAAACATTTTTCATCCACAATCATTCTATATAAGTTTTTGTTTATCCATATCATTTTATTTTGATTTTTTTAGTGCCATTGACAAAAAAGGAGTATAGAATGTGAATAATATATTATTCATTATATGTACGAGATTATTCAATCCAGTATGAATGAAAATTTAGATTCGATAGGTTGTTATGTAATCTTAATACTATATTAGCTTTGTGAGGCCTTGGAATTTGACAGATCTAATGATATCTTATGACCATTTATGGCTTTTTGATAATGAGTACCCTTATACTAGTGAAGAGATAAATGTCATTCGAAATAGTTGGGCATGTCAACTTCTTCAAGAACTATTTATTTAGATAGACCAAGATTTTACAGCTTGTTCGTCAAAATTAAGATTTTAACTAGATTTATTGTAATAAACCCAAAATTTTTAATAAAATTAA